GGCGGCCACCTGACGCCGCCATCCGGAAGCCCGCCCTCAGCGTGGCTCCCGGACCCGGGAGGGCGCGCGGGGGTGGGGCGACCCCCGACCCGCCAGGTTCCTTCCCCGTGCGGCACCGAGGGCAGCGGGAGCGGCCGGCCGCATCGCCCACAAGAGCTCCTCGCCGCTTGGGCTCGCGCGAGGACCCCGCTGCACCAGGTGTCGGGGCGCGCAGTGATGGGATGGAAAAGGACACGGATGGACCAGTGCTCCTGGCCTGTTTCCTCCTAACGCGCAGACACGACAGTCCCTTCTCACCCCCAGGGCCGGCGCCCCCCATCCCGCAGTCGGTGCAGACCCCGGCCTGTAGCGCCCCAGACCAGCGCAGGGGCCTCTCGACCCCTGAGCGCCCTGAGGGCAGGAGGAGGGAAGCCACGGCCTGGGATATGGAACTGTCCCGGGACCCAGGCTCTTTGTGCTTTCCTCGCGCCGCCCACCAAGACTGAGCCAGGGGCCCGAGAGGCCCCTCGGTGACCCTACCCAGCCCACGGCTCCTGAAGACCTCCTCTCTCCCTGCTCTGCCCCCGCCCCTCGGCCCTTCATCCAGTGCGCTGGGAGCCGCGACTCCCATCCCACCCTTCCCCTTTGCCTGCTGAAAGTGGTCACTGTTGTTTTTCACTCTTGTAAAAGGGAGATTTGGACGTCCAGAGGGCTTATTTCACTTATTCAGTCATTCATTCAGAGAATGTCACCATGTGCTGGTGTATCTTGACGATGCGCTTGTCCTCACTCCTCTGCATTTCTCAGCAGGAAGGAAGTGGGGACACTTGTGCATTCGTTTCCTAGGGCTGCCTTAACAAGATGCCAGAAACTGGGTGGTTTAGAGGAACAGACGTTTGTTATCTCACAGTTCTGGAGGCTGGGAATCCGGCATCAGGGTGTTGGCAGTGTTGCTTCCTCCTGCGGCTTTGAGAAGTGATCTGTTCCAGGCCACTCTCCTAGCTTCTGGTAGCTCCAGGATTTCCTCACTTGCAGCTGCAGTGTCACATGTCTCCCTGTCTCTATGTCTCTTCTCTTTTATAAATCATACTGGATTAGGACCCACCCTACTCCAGTATGAGTCCTGCTGGCACAGTGGTTAAGAGTTCGGCTGCTTACCAAAAGGTTGGCGGTTTAAATCCACCAGTTGCTGCTTGGAAACCCTATGAGGCAGTCTGACTCTGTCCTGTGAGTTGGAATTGACTCCACAGTAATTTTTTTTTTTTTTTTTACGCCAGTATGACCTCATGTTAATCTAACTGATAACGTCTTCAAAGACCCTATTTCCAAACAGGGTCATATTCACAGGTATAAGGATTAGGACTTCAACATATCATTTTGGGGGACACAATTTAATCCATAACCACTTGGAAACTAGGGCTTCCCAACATATCCAGAAAATTGTTGGGAAATTTCTAAGCTAGGGGCACACACCAATCCCTTCTCTTGCGTATCCACTCACAAGGTCATGGACATATATTGTCTGTGTTCGTCTCCACTGATTCCCAGATTCACAACCCTCCACCCTGCTATTGTACATGAAAGAAGCCCTTCTCTGCCTGGACACCCCCTACTTACCCTTCAATGCTCAGTTCTAGAGTCACTTCTAGACAGCCTTCCATGATGTCCACCCAGACCCACAGATGCCCCGATTGTGCCATTCCATGGCCGCTGTCATCCTTCCTCTGTCACAGCACCAGTCACTCAATCTGGGTTGACAGGACCGGTTTTCACCTTTCTGTCTGCCCAATCTCTTGAAGGTATGGAAGTATCTCCATCATCTGTGCATTTCCAGCACCTAACAAAATGCCGAACATGTAAAGGTAAACTTCCCAACCATAGACTATTAACTTAATGTTTAAAAGATGATTCCACATGTATGGAGATAAACATTGCTTATTAACTCTTCTGACCCCACCCCACCCCAGCCTGGTGCTCTGAGAGACAATGAGAGAGAGAAAGGTGTTTCACCTGCTCCCCAGAGGACAGGATTCTACTCCAGATCCTGTGGCCAAGGTGATCCGGTCTTGGGGAAAGGCAGCTGAGCAAGCCCACACAACCCCTTCAGGAGGGCCTTTGCAGACATCAGGCCTGTCAGGATTTGGGGAGCCGGGCACTTGTCAGGGGGTGGAAAGAGGCTGGCAGTGGGCGGGGTGGGGGCCACAGAGGACCTGGGTATACAGAGCCCAATGCTGGAAGCCAGTGGTTGTTCATTCTGCCCCGGCACAGCTCCTGGTTCTGGCTCAGCCTGCAGGGTCTGGTTAGCAGTTGGCCTTGACTGCTGACCTCTTGACTGTTGGAGGGAGGGACGGGGAGGCCATAGTTAACTGTGACATCCAAGGACCCAGGCTTTCCTCAGGTAGCTCTGATCCTGAGTGTCAGGACTAATCTCTCACTTGGTCCTGGGGTTCAGGTCATCATTCACCCTGAACTTGGGAAGCATTCAGAGGAGACCTGAACCAGTCTATTCTCAGGACCCAAATGTGGGCAAATCCTGGCCAGACTAGTACTAGGTGGAGGGTAGGGGTGGGGGCGGGGGCAAGAGGAAAGGGCTTAGCAGGTGTGGGGCTGGGGTGAAGTGTGGTCCAGAGATGCCTCTCTGAAGGGCCAGGAGTGGCGGGGGTGTTAGACAGGTGATCAGCTGAGAGGGGGATGATCTAAATTAATCCTCCTAATCCTTGGAATCAGGACTCAGCCCCTCTCCTAATCCCATCCCAGCAGATCATCCTTTCTGAGGATTGATGCAGCCACTTATCCTCTGTTACCCTTATTTCTAAATGCCTAGATCCTTTCATCAAAAAGAAAAAATACGAATATTTAAACCTGCAAGAAAAGTACAGTACAGAATGATATAACAAATATCCGCGTATACACCACTGAAATCCAACAGTTGTTATGTCTTGCCACATTTGATTCAGATGTAGCCCTTCCATTTATGCTTTTACAGTTTTACTTTATGTGTATGTATCCACAGACAATACATAGTATTGATTTGTATTTTAAAAAACTTGCATAAATGATGTTCTATTGTACACATTCTTCTGCAAACTTCCTTTTTTTCATTCAACACTTATTTTAGATTTATCTGTGTTGATATGTTGCTCCAATTCATGAATTTAAATTTTTGCATCTACTTTATTGTTTGAATACACCACAATTTATTTATCCATTCTTCTGTTAAAGGACATATAGACTGCTTCCAGTTTTCTGTATTATAAACAATATGGAAATTCCATAAGTGGAATTTCTGGGTCATAGAGTATATGCATCTTAACCCTTTAAAGACCTATGGGACAGACAGTATCCCACCCACTTTTTATGCCTGTGGAGTTGTTTGGAAAGGTAGTAGCCCATCTTAACGCGTTTAGCCTCAAGGTGAGAGCCTTTTGAAATGTGTGAAATTCAAAAATCCTGACTAGGAGCCTCATTTTTGTGTAGATTGAGCATTGTCTTAAGTGATGTCTCTCAGATACTTGAATTTTCCAAACTTTTGACAGGTTTGCCTTTATTTATTAATTTATTTATTATTTCTGTGAGATAAGCCTGCTCACTGTGTTTCCCAGTTACTGTGTTCTCCTGAGAATGTACTTATTGTGAAAATAAGCTACTGCCAGTCTTCATTCTGTCATAGTGGCCATTTTCTCTTTTATATGATTCATTGTTCCCAGGTGTTACTGGCTCCTTTCTTTTCTAGCTTCTGAACAGTAAATAATGCCTTTCCAGTAAGGAATAACACATTGCACTGGTACTTTTCAAGAGATTGGAATTCCTATAAATTATTCTTTCACTGCATTCAATCTTAGGGCTCAATCATTGCTTCCATGTGTAGCAAGTGGAATGCACTACTGTGAGCAATTCTGCAATATTCCAGGGCAGCTGTTTCTGCTGCTTAGCTATACTGCTTTTGTTATAATGAAAAATAAATAGTAGTGGTAATTTTCCTGAGATTCAAATTTCTTTAGTTTTATTTATTTTGTCTGCTAAGTACTGCTTTTGCAGTACTGAAGAAAGTATTGTAGTGGTAATTTTCCTGAGATAAAAAAAAATCCCTTGGCTTTATTTATTTGGGCTGTAAGTATGCTTTTGCAGTAAGGAAGAG